ATCAAGCGTGCATAAAACACGTCGCAAACTGATGTTATACCAGTCTCATCGATACCGATGTTCTGTGACATACCCAGGTATCGGTATGTTTCAGCCTCAGAAAGGGTTGTTAAGTGGACGGGCATAGATAAGTCTATGCCCTCCCAGTTAGCAACCTTTCCCCTTTCAACATGGAGGACCGCACACTTATCCGTCCCCAGCTCCATTCCAATAGAATTGCCTAATTCACAAGTGATGTTTAGCAATTCCATAAGATGGGAGCGACTGGAGGCGAATAACTTGAGGTCATCCATATAGAAAAGGTGGGTCACTTTTGTACCTCCTTTCCAAAGCTGAAATCCCCTCCCGGAGCCCTCTAGTAAAGTACTGAGAGGGTTCAGAGAGAGGCAAAACCAGATTGGACTCAGAAGATACCCCTTCTTATCCTTATGTGGTTCTCCGCAGCCATCATCCGCTCGCCCAGATAGCAAAGGATCGTACTACACTACCTATACACTGCTCGAGGAAGTCTCCAACTGTACAGTCAATCTTGTACAGCTGGAGGACTCTCTTTAGCCATGTATGGGGCACCGAGTCGAATGCCTTTCTGTAGTCTATCCAGTCGGCGGAGAAGTTCCGACGGTTGCATTTCAAAACTTTGCCAATTACCGCGTCAATGAGGAGTGGTTCTTTAGTTCCACGACCACCACCCCGACATCCATTTTGAGTGCAAGCCATCACCTGATTTAGCTCCAGGTGACGAGTGATTCTCGCGCTCAAAATGGATGTCAGTGTCTTATATATGGTGGGTAGACACGGGATGGGACGGTATTTGCTCGGGTCTATGGTATCCTGAGCTTTAGGAACCAAGTGAGTGATCCCAGTAGTGAAGAGGCTCGGGAGCGATTTCTGATCGAGAGCCTCTTTAAACTGTCGGGCGAGCACAGCGTGACATACTACGAAACCCTTCAGCCAGTAATGATGCAGCCCGTCGAGCCCCGGACTATTCCAGTTTGGGGCCTTACGGACCGCCTCAGCCACGTCTTCAGGCGTTATGGTGACGGGGTCCATAGGCGTAACACTTGCACTCTGGCTCGCCACAACTTCCATCCAAGGGCTCTCGCTGTGGTTTACGGGCTCTGACCACAGGCCACGCCAAAATGCGACAGTGTCAGCCTGATCCGGTCCTGGGCCCGCTCCACATACCTCTGGTCGTCCCAATGATTTATAGAGCCCCTTCTGATCACTCTGGAAGAGACGATTCTGGTTGAACCGCCTTAACCTCTCGCTAAATCATCGAATCTGCTTCTCCCAAGCAGCGATCTTTTGCTTCAGGTCGTCTATGCGCTCCATTAGTTTCTGCATGATATCCGGCTGGGACAAACTAATATTTGTCCCAGCAAACGCCATTCTAATGGTGCGTACAACTCTCGGTCTATTATTACCCGACCTGAAGCTTGTCAGTCTGCCGATAAGGGCCCTTGTCTTTGCGATACGGTCCTCGATTCTTTTTCTCCAGTCTGGGATGGCGCTACTTTGTTGAGTAGCACGTCCAGACATGGGAAGTTTGACGCCAATAATACGGCATACTGCCAGTGCGGCGCCAAAAAGAATTGAGTCCGTCTCGCAAAGGTCCCGGCTGGCTTAAAATAGATCACCAGCATTGGGTTAAGAGCCCGTACGACAGCCCGATTTCGCTTGCTTAGGGGAATGCGGGGAAGTCGCGGTCGATTTTCGAGAGGCATGCTGCGCGTTTCCAGCATCGACTCTTCCAATATATTCCTTATTTTCTTTAGTTCGTGGGAGACTATTCCATCATCGTCTGAATTAACCACAAATGGAATATTGACGGCAGCATCCACATATGCAGTTTGCTGCGTATCTAGTGGCGCCGGATTTCCAGCTTAGCATTTCCATTCGATGAGGGAACAGCCTCACGTCGTAGTCATTCGAGTTCGGCGTCAGCAAATATGTTGGAGCGCAGGATATACCGAACTATGTCCGCCAGGTTTTGCTCAGTGACGGATAGAGATAGCTCCAGCTCTGCAAAAAAGCGATGCATCCTAGCCCAATACGCCAAACCTCCAACTTCTCCCCCTTTCACCCTAAAATACGCAATGCGTTAGTATTCATTTCGATTGTCTATCGCATGCGGCGTACTCCACCAGTGGCGGGTTCCGATTGCTGGGCCCGCGAAGACCCTGCTGACACCAAGCCAGCTGGTGGGGATGATGGATGCGGGGGGCTGATGGGTGGTAGTGCAGCACCTCTAGCTCGGCTGGCGGTTCGCATGCTGTCACGTCCAGCGTCAGCTCCAGACGCGCCCTGGCGACCTATAGGCAGCGGCTCTTTGCGCGTTCTTCCGTATTCCATCGTCCATAGTGGTGGGCGTCATTTAACGGGAGGCGCCCAGACTCGGCGCCGTTTCATGGTGGGGCCATGTGCACAAGCGGGTCTTTGCACCTTCAATTTTTGCCGAGGCACGGCACTAACACCTCTTGGCAAGGTGCTGATTGACTGCGCTGACGTAGTGGTTTTGTCACATAACCGTTACGTCAGCAGGCGAAGGGGTTGTTACTTCCCTACGCCGATTTATTATTATTTTTGGGGTATCTATATAGTTTTCTCATCTGGTTGGGTTCTATAAATATATAATTATAAATGAAAATGAAAAGATAAATATACATAAATATCAATAACATAAAATAAATATAAAAATACATAAATAAATAAAAGCCCAACCAGATGGAGGCCCTCGGCAGTGGAGACCAAATGGCCGAGGGTTAGGGGGAAAGGGAAAGAAACCGGCGGACGATGCGGGCGGTATCGAGGAGCACCGCCTTCTGCATTTGAGCCCGGAGCGGTCTGTCACGGAGTCCCAGTCGCCTCAAATGGCCCGAGAGGCTGGCTGGGATTAATCCGTTTGCAGACACGACTACAGGAATAATTTCGGTCGGCCGACCACCCCACATGTCGATCACCTCGTGAGCCAGGTCCAGATATTTTGTTCACTTATCTGTTTCGGCTCTCATGAGGTTCTCGTTATACGGAATGGTAATGTCGACCAAAAATATCCTTGACTGTGCCCGGTCCATCAGCACAATATCAGGATTATTCGCAAGAATAGTCCTGTCTGTGATGATAACCCGGTCCCAGTAGAGCCTGGCGTAGTCATTTTCGAGCAAGGCTTCCGGCAAATACTTGTAATACGGCACTTTCCGGTCCACGAGACCGTATTTCAGAGCGAGCTCCTGGTGTAGAATTCTGGCTACTAGGTTGTGCCTGTGCAAGTACTCAGAGTTAGAAAGCGCCGAAAAACATGAAATGACATGCCTAAGTGACTCCCCGTGATGGCGACAAGCTCGACAGACGTCGACGGTGCCATTCTTTAAGATGTAACTCCGATAGTTGTTGGTCTTAATAACCTGATCCTGTATTGCACAGACAAAACCCTCGGTTTCCCCGAAGAGGTCACTAAAGCGTAGCTAGTAGAGGGAGGCTACTGTGTCTACAAAAGGCTCATGTACAGCCTTGTAGAACCTCTCGTGGAGCTCGTTCTCCTTCCATACGGTCTCCCGGTTGGAAATGCTCTGCACTGCCGGGTCTTGCCATTGCTCGTTGGCTAAGGATATAGGGGTAAGTCCTTTATCACAAAAAATGACATCCTTATAGAATAGATCATCAGATCTCACCAGGAAGTAATTACGAAGGCTGCACACTTCGCGATTATGCATGGTGAGCGCGCTCAAAAAGCCACACCCACCATGCTTTCACGGCAAGTACAGCCTCATTACCGACGATCTCGGATAATTCATCCTATGGGACGTCATGGTAGTGCGGACTTTTCTATCCAGGGCGTTAAGCTCAGTCTGAGTCCACCTGTGTATGCCAAAGGTATACATGAGGACAGGCATGACCCAGCAGTTATATGTGTGTGACTTATTCACACCGGACAAAAGGCTGTTAAGCACTTTGGTCAAGCGTGCATAAAACACTTCGCAAACTGACTGTTTTATACCAGCCTCATCGATACCGATGTTCTGTGACATACCCAGGTATCGGTATGTTTCGGCCTCGGAAAGCGTCCTTAAATTGACGTACATAGACAAGTCTATGCCCTCAGAGTTAGCAACCCTTCCCCTTTCAGCATGGAGGACCGCACACTTATCCGTCCCGAGCTCCATTCCAATGGAATTGCTAAATTTTCAAGTGATGTTTAGCAGTTCCATAAAATGGGAGCGACTGGAGGCGAATACCTTGAGGACATCCATATAGAAAAGGTGGGTCCCTTTTGTCCCTCTTTTACAAAGCTGAAATCCCCTCCCGGAGCCCTCCAGTAAGGTACTGAGAGGGCTCAGAGAGAGGCAGAAACAGATTGGACTCAGACAATTGCCCTAGAAGATACCCCTTCTTATCCTTATGTGGTTCTCCGCAGCCATCATCCGCTCGCCCAGATGACATAGGATCGTACTCCACTACCCCATACACTGCTCGAGAAAGTTTCTAACTGTACAGTCAATCTTGTACAGCTCGAGGACCCTCTTTAGCCATGTATGGGGCACCGAGTTGAACGACTTTCTGTAGTATAACTAGGTGGCAGAGAAGTTCCTACGGTTGCGTTTCACCACTTTGCCTATGACCGCGTCAATGAGTTGGTTCCTTGGTTCCACGACCACCACCCCGACATCCATTTTGAGCGCGTGACATCACCTGGTTTAACTCTAGGTGACGAGTGATTCTCACGCTCAAAATGGATGTCAGTGTTTTATATATGGTGGGTAGACACGTGATGGGGCGGTATTTGCTCGGGTCTGTGGTATCCTGATCTTTAGAAACCAAGTGAGTGATCCCAGTAGTGAAGAGGCTCGGGAGCGACTTCTAGTCGAGAGCCTCTTGAAAGTGTCGGGTGAGCACAGCGTGACACACTATGAACCCCTTCAGCCAGTAATGTTGCAGCCCGTCGAGCCCCGGACTTTTCCAGTTCGGTTCCCTACGGACCGCCTCAGCCACGTCTTCCGGCGTTATGGTGATGGGGTCCATAGGCGTAACACTCGCACCCTGGCTCGCCAAACTTCCATCCAAGGGCTGTGGTTTACGGGCTCTGACCACAGGCCACGCCAGAATGCGATAATGTCAGCCTGATCCGGGCCTTGGCCCGCTCCACATAACTTTGGTCGCTCCAATGATTTATAGAGCCTCTTCTGATCACTCTGGAAGAGACGATTCTTGTTGAACCGTCTTGACCTCTCGTTTAATCGTCGAATCCGCTTCCCCCAAGCAGCGATCTTTTGCTTCAGGTCGTCTATGCGCTCCGTTAGTTTCTGCGTGATATCTGTTTGGGACAAACTGATATTTGTCCCAGCAGACGCCATCCTAACGGTGCGCACAATCCTCGGTCTATTATTACCCGACCTGAAGCTTATCAGTTTGCCGATAAGGGCCCTTGCCTTTGCGATACGGTCCTCTATTCTTTTTCTCCAGGCTGTGATGGCGCTACCTTGTGTAGTAGCGCGTCCAGCCATGGGAAGTTTCGCGCCAATAATACGGCAAACTGCCACTGCGGCGCCAAAGAGAATTGAGTCCGTTTCGCAAAGGTCCCTGCTGGCTTCCAAATAGGTCAGCATTATTGGGTTAAGAGCCCTCACGACAGCCCGACTTCGCTTGCTTAGGGATATGCCGGGAAATCGCTTCAAGTTCGAATCAACCACAACTGGAAGATCCATGGCGGCTTCCAGAATATTTTCTAATTTTCAAAACAAATTGTCACCAAACTGATTTTATTATTGTAATACTTAATCCAACGCACCCGAAGTGAAATTGGTACGTTGGCTCTCCTACAGATTGAGATCCATGCTCGACTCAATTAAGGAATCACCAGTCTTATGCATGATCTCAGATATCATGCGTCCACTACACACTTTTGATAAAAAGTATATAGTGGAATTACCCTCCAGAGAAGAATGGATGAATGGCCAGGTTATCTGTCAGGTCGGTAGCCTCATATGGTATACCGATGGCTCTAAAATCGGCCTCGACGTATGCTTTGGAATTTACGGGGAGAACCCCAAATTAAAACTTAGTATGAATTTGGGTAGATACACCTCCATCTTCAAGGCAGAAATTTTCGTCATACTTCGGTGTGCGGAAATCAATCTGCAAAAACACTACGTCAACCACACACCAGGCTTAAAACATTCTAAAACCTTAATTCAGGCTTTTGATCCTAAATTTGCTTCAGAAGCCCTGGGATTAAGTAAAAATAAATTGCGCATTCTGGCAAGAGCCCAAACTGGACACTGTTGTCTTAAAAAGCACGTGTCCATCCTGGGAGTAAGTAACTCAAGGATGTGTCGGTTTTGTACCATAACGGAAGAAACGCCTCTACACATCCTAACTAATTGCGGACCCTTAACGCGCAAACGTAACACTCATCTGGAAAACTATGTACTGCGTCCATAAGTGAAGGCTAAGCAATTCCTTCTATTCATTGAAGACATAGGGCTTAGCCATGAACTATAGCCATAGAAGCGATCACAATAGGTCTTATTGGTTGCAGTGATACTGGTCTCTTTCCCTAGACCTGCATAGCTGCTTGCATATAATAAAAAAAAACAGTTCTATCTTAATATATACAAATTACGTGTCACGTTGTTTGTCCGCGATGGACTCCTAAACTATTTAACCGATTTTAATCAAATTTGCACACCGTGTGCAGTTTGACCCGATTTGAGAGATAGGATAGTTTTTTTTTGCCCACGAGTGACCCACATTTTTTTTGTGAATTTAAGCGTTTTTAATGGGACATGACAGGGTGATCGAAAAGGGCAGAACAACATCTGCCTGGCAAGCTAGTCTTATATAATTTATGTCTTGACATTTGATACTTCTCCCCTTAAGTGGTTCAATAAAGGTGTTTAAGATCTTATGTTTATCTATGTGTAGTTTTCGCGCGAATATAAGATATCATAATGACTTGAGAGATTAAGCTGATTAACAGTTTAATAGAAATAAATACAATGACGTTACACATTGTAATCTATAGGTTACACTCGTTTAAAATAAGCAACATAATATGTATACAAAATGTGCATCCAATTCCCTACACAAAAAGAAATCCTTTTATAATGATATATTTTATATAAACACGTATGTTGAAAGCATATATGCTGAAATTTTGGTCTAAGTTTGCCTGACGTTTTTTTTACAGGATAGGGTGACATACGAGCACATAGGCCACCCGATAGTAAGTGGTTGCTGTAGCCTATAGACACCATAATATATCGACTCGATTACAAATCAAAATGCAGATGCGTTGTCACCCGCGCGGTCTAAGATGGAATGCCTCATTTCCAGTAAAAAGGGTCTTCGGTCCTCTACACTGACCATACGAAACACAGCAGCATTAAGCTACTATTTTAAGCTGGTATTCTGTGAGCGAGGTCCTTCCTCAGTCGAGCCGGTCCATTCTTGCTACAACTATACTACTAATATAACTGCAGCATGGCTCTACCACGTATAAAAACTATAAAAAAATATGACGTAAAAAATTGTGGTGAAGCAATTTTCATTTCGTTATCGGACCCAAAACCAACGCAAATTTTGATTACCGTTCAGGTTAAATTTTAGTGCGTTTTCTAACCTTATTGCACAATATAGATAGACTGCGAACATTTGTGAACGGCGTGGTGACGATGTAAGAATATCCACTACCATACCGCTCGGTGGATGTCATATCAATATACAAAAATATCCCTTTTTAGGCGGCCAATTTTCAGATATACGCTCACGTAGTGGTTTTGTCACGTAACCGTTACGTCAGCGGGCGATGGGGTCGTCACTTCCCTACGCCTATAATTATATGATCATTATTATTCTTAAGTAGTATCGTTCCATAGCTATATGGCATGTTTCAATTTTTTTTGTAAGTGTTATAAGTAGGAACATAACATAAACACTCACGCCTGTCACCCAGAGGTGTAGGCAGAGACTACAGTCTTCCATTCAGCACGATCCTGACATACCTTTCTCGCCTCTTCCACATGCATATACCTACGCATACATGCTCGTCGGTTAACGGTACTCTTAATTTGGCCCATTTTTAGTATATCGAATATAATAATATAATATATATAGATGTGACAGGCGTGAGTGTTTATGTTATGTTCCAATTTTCAGCAGCGAAATTTGATAGGCCACCATACAACGTATATGATATAGTTAAAATACCATCATATGACAAAAGTATCGTATAGCGGAAGCTACATATATAAAATACTTTTGTTATATCTTATAGTTGTTTGTTACAATACCCAAGAGACGAAATGAGGTGAAGGATTCTCTTACGCCGCCACTACAGCGGTAAGGTAAACTTTAAGCTTTTGCTCCATCATCCAACTCGATGCTGAACCTCATAGAAATCGACTACAGCCTTGGTCTGTAAGGCTTTATGATATTAGAGTGATTTGTGAGCTTATAATCTACAATATGATGGGAAGAGAATATTACGTTACGTGTATACCTGCATCTAACTGTTTTTATATTACTGAAGTGATATAAGTAGCTATTGTATAGTATGCCTATAGACAGCTGCAACCAGCTTCAAACAAAGTAGACCACAGATGCGTAGTCAGTCCTAAGAGCTAAAATGACTTGCTTCGTATATACTGTAATTTGACGGACTCTCTGCTGACTACCTGCTAACTTTCAAACAAAATCACAGAATGAGTGCACTTCTACTTGGCGGCAGAACTAAATCAACGGATAAAAAACCAGATTTGTTTGAAATTCATTATTTTGATCTTAACTTTTGCAGCTCTTCATAACTTAACTTCTGAAGATAAAATTTCCCCAAGGAGTATCACAAAACACAGTTCTAATCCTTCTTCATCGATCAACCACCTACTTTTTTTACTAGAACCTCACTCCATCTAGCGAAGTGCCGCCCTTCACTACAAAAGGTCAATTGACAGATCCAATATAGAGGTACATATATATCTATATAAAATTAAAAATTGTTCTGTTCTATTCTCTCCGGGGTGTGTTCGCGAGATTATGATGCAGGTTTACAACACACTTTTCTCAAAACCGGAAAAAAAGTGTACAACTAGTCCGTGTTGTCGGTGATGACACGTGGATCTGATATGTTGTTGGATGAGGAAGATTGAGGTCGTTCAGCGGGCTAAGGAATCCCTTAAGAATGTTTTACATGCGGTAGAGCCATGCTGCGTTTTTATTGTGGTTGTAGCACGAATGGGTTGGATTGACATGGAATGGACCACGCTCTCACAAAATATCAATGGAAACTAGCAGCCTAATGCAACCGTGCCTCGTATGGTGAGTGAAGATAAACGGAGATCCTTTTTACTGGAAATGAGACATTTCATCTTAGCCGTCAGGAACAACAACATATCTTCATTTCGCTTCCTAAGCTAGATAGATTTAGATTTACCAAGTGTAATCTAAATAATAAATATTAAATATATTATATAAAATTAATTTCCCCCCTTTTCAATAAAATTATATATATGTGACCAGGATAAATAAAATATGTTTTGGTCTTTCTTAATGATCTTTCTAAAGGTTTAGTAATAGGCCGTTTGTAATATTTTGGCGTGATCGACTTAGTTAGGACCCTTATTTACGTTGTGTTTCTTTAGTAACTTAGTTCTTTAAGGTGTCTTTTGGAAGAATGAATATTCACTAGAGAAATTGAAAGCTGTTGGTAGTGCCTTATAGCTAAGTGAACCCCGTTCACGAAGACAGGGCTGGAGAAAGGTTAAGAACAGAAAACGTCCCTATTCCACTTGTATCAGGTTTACATTATTAATTTATTATTAATTATCCCTTCCCGCTTCGAAAATGCTCACAATATATTTATACAAAATACCCAATACAAGGGTTCGCTCCCCTATATTTATTTAAATAAATGTAGGGGAGGCACACACGCCGTGCGCTGTGAGCGCCAACCATTTTGATGCACTTCCTCCGTAGACATCACCACCCGCACACTTCCATCGACCAGAACCACAAGAGTGCGTAGAATCAGGCGCAGCACACCCGCAGATCTATCACAAGACGCAATACCGCAAGTAGCAGTAAGCATCAACGCAACTATCATACGGATGGCACCCCCTCATAACACACCCACATGATCCCTATCGACTTTGGTAACAAAGTTTTCATTGTTGTTAACTAAAAAATATAACCAACGTTAGTAGCACGCCACTAAGACGCCAGTAAACAAAACTCCACGTATCATAGCGCTAATGCACTAAGACATGAAGTTGAGTATGCCTGTTATACTAAAAGTGCTACCAAACACACTCATCCAGACTCACTCAGACTTGGGTGTTATACTTGATAAAAAATTGACTTATCTTTACCACATAGAAAGTGTAATAAACAAAGCTTCTAAATTATTAGGTTTTATTATGCGACAAGGTCGAACTTTTAAAGAAGCTAGAACAAAAGTCTGTCTTTATAACAGCCTTGTCCGAAGTCACTTAGAGTACTGTAGCGTTGTATGGCGTCCACACTATTCTACACACCACTTAAGACTGGAGCGTGTTCAGAAAAGATTCATGTGGCATCTATCATACTCAGCGAAGATTAACAAAACAGTGGTGTCCTATAAAAAAAAGGCTAAAATACTTTAATATCATGACTCTTGACCAAAGAAGAGATTTGTTAGATTTAATGTTTTTATACAAATTACTAAGTAATA